TTGGTCTTCAAGGTCATCAATGTCGAGTTCCTCATCATCGTCATGTTGGGACTGGGAGTAAGTGCTCTCGGTATCGGTACTTGGTGGCGTGCTTAGTCCCATAGAGATTTCATTTTCTTCAAGATTTTCTTCCATCGTTTCAATCTCCGTCTCTAAAGATGTCGTGTGTTGAATCCTATCAACGCTATCCAAATAATCCTTCAAACAAATGTAACACTCCACGGACTCCGGGCTTAGTCTTGTCCGACGTACCGAAATGATCATGCCACTAAGAGAAAAAGCAGACTCCGAAGCTACGGTACTAGCTTGGATTGTTAGTGCATCACGTGCGATGCACGCCAAAATCGGAAATTGAGGTTGTTTTTATTTCAAAAAATCTAATAAATCAATTTTTTTCAAAATCTTCAACATCATTTGCGGGACATGCGGCCATAAAATTAGTATGCACATACATATTTAGTTCACCCAAATCGTTATCGAAGTGTCCAAAAGGCAAACCGACTTGAATGACACATTGTGTAGTCATTTGTCGGTTTAAATCGGCATCGTAGGACCATATTTGATCTTGGGTGTCAAGTATCGGTTGGCTTGAATCTCCCCCCAACCTCAACCCTGGGCACATTTTTTTCGGTGTGCCTCTGTAACGTAGAATTTTCTTCCGCCGTAAAGAGAGTTTGACACATTTTGCATTGTGCCTTTCGTTTCCCGGTCGTAAGAACCACCAAGTTGTAGTGATTCCAAATCTTGGACTTTCGTCCGTGTTCGGCGAGAACTTGGACAATTTGTTCGTTTGATGGTTGTTCACCGGCCATTTTGTAAATCGTAAGTAAAAGAGAGAAATAAACGAGAATTGTGAAGTGGAAACGAGAAATTAATACGTAACGAATTCAAAAAATGAAGCGAAAAACCGAGAATTGATAGCGTTTTTTGCGTTTTTGAAGATGAGATGAGTTGGTAACAAACTAGGGAACTCCCATATCCATTTATACATGTTTTGGTAGCTTATAAGATGAAAAAAAGGGTCATAAGGTAGCTTATTCATAACCGCCGGTCCACAACCTGTTACTACAGGTCCCGGTCGGTTCCGGTCCCTCGCCAGTTACGGTTACGGGCCTCCGTCGGTTACAGGCCGGGTCGGACCCATTTGGCCATCTCTATACGACAATAATGAAAGCTGGTATGATTGTCCATTATGATACGTACATACATATTCTAAAATATTTGGGTGTAAAAAATAAAATAAATAAATAAATAAAATATTTAGGGTGCCAATTTTGTTAGAGGTTTGGCTTTGGATGTGGTTTTTTGCTTGGTTGTATGTTGTTAGAGGTTTGGCTTTGGATGTGGTTTCTTTAAATTTTCTCTTGAGGAAACTTGAATTTTTTTTAATTAAAAAATGTTATTTTACAAATAAAATTAGAAAACGATTATAATGCCACCCATTGAAAAAGAATCTACTAATGCATACCATAAACCGGAAATTCTCAATCAATCACAAACAAGGTTTTAAATTACATCATACTTGACGTGTTAGTAAGATGAACCTAAAGTTTTAGGAGGCACAATGTCTTTTATGATCAACTTAATTAATTTTAGCTTAAAATATTAATTAAGAGTATTTTAGGGAATTTATAAATATCATCTCCCATATCTTTTCTTTCTCTTTTTCGGCGAATCTTATTCCGATAAACCTTATGTGAACACAAGATACACACTGTGAAACCTACAAATGATATTTACTGTGATACCTACAATGTGATACCTTTTGTAAAGCAATGAAAATGCACATTATGATACATTTCATAAAACAAAGAAAATACATTGTGATACACGTGAAACATTGTGAACATTATTATTTTTATAATACACTTTGATTCACAAACGTCTTTAAAATACGATGTATATTAGGTAACTAATTTTAATTAAATATTTTTTTCTAAAAAAATTAATTAAATATTTTGATTAGTTATCAAAAATAGAATTACTATATTACCATTTTAGCTTATTAAGAAATATTCTTAAATATACCAAACGAGTGGTTCACATTGTATCTCACAGTTACCACAAACTAATCAGTTCTCCCTTGAATGAACCTCTGTGTGTGTGTGTGTGTGTATATATATATATATATATATAAACATTTTTAATATTACTGACACTACAAAACAAATAACCTTTACCCACAAAAATCATCCAGTAATATTTCCATCGGTGATTACGGACGGATCACCTAGAAAATACTCATGGTTTGGTAAAATCTGATGTTTTTCGAGAAAATACCTACAAATCACCCATAATACCTTGGTAATTTATCACTGATTTGAATTACCCACCAACAATTTGACCACTAATTTTGGTGATGGTTTTGTGACGAATCACCCTTTAGCAACGGATTTTCCCCAAGAAAAAGTCTGGAAGCAAAATCTTCCATTTAGTAGTGTCAGCGAGTCAAACGATTTATTATATTAATTATATACTAAAAATAAAAAAAAAATAAAAGAGTAAGAAAAATCGAATATTCTGTTACAACC